CAGTGTCACTGGCCCTCATATGTGGGATCCGAACCGGGGCCCTCTGGCGTCCCAAGCCAGTTCTTAACCATCGCGCCACTCAGCCGGCCCTCTTCTATTTTTTTTTAATTTTTTTTTATTATAGCTCAAATTGGAATCTAAGTCATCTATTGCAAATGGTTGATGTCTCACAAATCTCTTTTAATTAATGTTTCTCATACTTTTCCCCGCCCTCTCAATGTATGGATTGAAGAAGCTGAGTATTTTGTCCTATAGGGTGTCATACATCTGGATTTGGCTGATTGCATCTTTATGTGCCAGTAAACGTGTTCCTTTATGGTTGGCATATCTTGAAAATTAGTAGTTAAGTCTAGTGGTTTAATCACATTCTAGTTTGGTACCCTCCCCTGGTAGGAACAGTTCAGGATGGTGCTACTCATGTATGTCTTGCAAGAGTCACACATGTCGCTCTTTGAATGATGATTCACAGCCTTTGCTTGTTACTTAGACCCACTGTTGAATTAGGGATCTCAAAATGGTGATATTCTAATCTTATAATTCCTTCATTTATTAGCTGAATAAGTGATGCTTCCTCTTATCGACTATTTGATTCCCTGTATCACATAGGAAAGGCAAGATGAATGCTTGATTCTTTCCCTCTATTTACCAGTTTTCAGAATATTGAGTTGGTTTCCCAGCATCTTCAGTGGTCACCAGTAGATTTAAAATTATTTATTAGCTGCTAACCAATTGCAGTTATTCTTATTGAAGGTTAAATTATTCATTTGGGGGCTAATGTCTTGCCTTGTACATTCTCTACCCTAGATCTGGAATTAAACTTTTCTCATAGGAGCCCTCATTGTTTCAGTGGGAAGTGGCATTTTTTTCACTGGCTGCTAGGGTTTTCATTATGACTGGGTTGGTTACTGTTTCCAGGCCTTTTCAGGGAACAGATTTGGAAATGCAATTTTTTTCCATTTTCTTCTTTTTAAAAAATAAAATGTATGGTGGGCTTCTTTGTGATACTTCTAATTCAGAATTCTTACATACACCTCATGTTAATCCTGTTTTTGTTTCTTCTATAGCTGTATCTTTTTCTCATGTCTCAAATCCCATTTTTAAATGGCAACTTAAGTATTCATTTGCTTTAATCCCATAATACATATGTAAACAGCTCAGAATAATAGTACTCACGCTGGTAACAATAATATGGTTATTGAAAACAGCTTACTGTTAAATTTTTTTTTGGCCTTAGAATGTATCTCATTAGGGCTGTATAGGCAAGTTAATATATTTTAAAGTTACTTGAAATAGTTCCTAGAGAGGAACCAACTTAATGCATAGTTAGGTGCATTTGTTTCATTTTACTTTAGAGTTTTTAAAGGATTGTTGTTCTTTAAACGTAATTTTGTTTTTATAATTATGTAAAATATTTACATGGCTCCAAAGTATGTAACGCAGTATATTCAGAAGTCTGCCGTCTGTCCCTGGCGCCTCCCTAGGTCCCCTCCCTCCCTGATGTATAATCACTTTTGTTTTTAAGGTCGTGATCTATCCTTAATTTATATTTATCTTATTCATAATTTCTTATTCAAAAGAAATTTAACTCTTATTTATATTCCCCGCAACCCCTGTTCCTAGATAAATGGAAGCATAATACATATACACCTTTGACACCTTTCTTGGATCTTTTTTTTCTTTAAGATTTAATGGGGAATCGGGGAAGGGGAACAGACAAGTTGCTGTCCTTTTGTTCTTCAGTCTAGTTGTGGAGGACGTTGCTTCACTGGCCCAAGTTGGCACCATCATTGCGCTCTTCCCGGGTGAGGCAGATCAGTCGCCAGCTTCTGGACGGCCGCTCACTGCGGCTGCTGGCCGCTCACGCTGGCTGCTGGCTACACACGGTAGCCCATGGCAACCTACTGCAGCAGGGGCTGTAGCCTACGCCATCGCCGGCGACTCACGGCAGCCCAGCTCCAGGTCGAGCTGTTGTTCACCATCTTAGCTGTAGAGGGCGCAGCGTCACTGGCCCTCATGTGGGATCTGAACCGGGGCCCTGCTGCTCAGAGCTGGCGTCCCAAGCCAACTCCTAACCAATGTGCCACTCGGCCAGCCCCTTTCTTGGATCTTTTAACACTATATTTCTGGTGTTCCCTCCAGAACAGTACATGGAATCCCTCTTTCTTTCCTTCTGCCACTTCATGGAGCCCCACCGAGTGGGTGTAAGAGCTTATTCTTCCAGTCCCTAGTGATGGGTGTTTGGGTCGCTTCCAGTAATTTGCTGTTACAGGTAATGCTAAAAATATAGCCCGTGCATATAAATTTTTATATTTTTGCCAGTGTATCTTTGGGATACATCCCTAGATGGGGGATGGCTGGCTTAGAGGGCAAGAGCACATGTAATTCTGAGAATATGACAAAACTCCCTCCATAGAGATTATACCATTTTGCATTCATATTAGCAACACAGCCTTGCATGTTGCCACAGCCTTGTATGTTGTCACACTTTGAGATTTATGACAACCAGATAAATAGGAAATGGTACCTCGGTGTCATTAATTTATATTTCTCTTCTCAGCAAGGTAGACCATCTTTTCCTGTGATTAAGAGCCATATGCATTTCCTTTTCTGTAAACTGTCTAATTATATTTCTAGCTCATTTTTCTCTAGGGTGTTGGTCTTCCCCCACAACAGTAGTGCCTTTTAATTATCTTAACAAATAACCAAGAGAGAGCTGCTACACCAGGTCTGTACCTGGTACTGGGGAAGCAGAACTTGGTACAGATGTTAAAGATCTTTTGATACAAATATCTATTGTGTTTTAATTTTATTCCAATACATTCACAATATGTTAAGCAGAACTAGTTGTGGCAGCCAATTAAATATTATAAACCTCAATACTAAATTAAAGAAGAGCATCCCTGTTTGGAGAAAGCGCTCCATACACATTTAGAGATATCAGAGATAGCCTGTGACTGGCGCAGGGGTTGCAGACTAGTGGCCCGAGAGTCACGGAGCCTACCGATGATGTGTTTTGGCACACCATTATCTTAAAAACTTGAACAACCAACATTTAAAACCATGTGCTTTCACATAGTCACCAAGAAATTTGGACTTCGGAGGATGCAGAAATACTGGTTCTCATTCCTGCATGACAGCATTTCTGGGATGCACCCTAGTTCCCTTCACTCCTTAGTACCTAGTACCTGCTCACCCATTGCGGGACCCCCTGCCACTTGTGGCTTGGAGCATTTGGAACATGGCTAGTCCAAACTGGGAAGTGGTGTTGCATTTAATGTGGATGCTGGAGTATTTAAAATGAAATATGTGGCTCTCATTTCATTTCTGTTGGACATGCCACCTTACCTTCTGCCTGCTTAATTCATTTACTTTTTTTTTTTTTTAAGATTTTTATTGGGGAGTTGGGGCATGGGAACAGCGCTGGTGAATTGGGGAAAGGGGAACAGACAAGTTGATGTTCTTTTGTTCTTCAGTCTAGTTGTGGAGGACGTTGCTTCACTGGCCCAAGTTGGCACCATCGTTGTGCTCTTCCCGAGTGAGGCAGATCAGTCGCCAGCCTCTGGACAGCCACTCACGGCGGCTGCTGGCCACTCACTCTGGCTGCTGGCTACACACGGTAGCCCATGGCAACCTACTGCAGCAGGGGCTGTAGCCTACGCCATCGCCGGTGACTCACGGCAGCCCAGCTCCAGGTCGAGCTGTTGTTCAGCATCTTAGCTGTAGAGGGCAGTGTCACTGTCCCTCATATGTGGGATCCAAACTGGGCCTTCTGGCGTCCCAAGCCAGTTCTTAACCAACGCGCCACTCGACTGGCCCTCAAGGAGTTACATTTTAACCGAGGAATTGTACTTGCCTGGAACATCTCGCTTAGATCTCCCTTGCTGCTCCCTCTTGCCACTGCATTTTCCCGCCTATTTTTTTCTTCCTCTCTATGTTGTTTCCAGTGTCTTGAGATCTTTGTACAAAGTTTTACTTTATAGATTTTCTCCCTCCCATAACAGGAAAAGTAGTTCTTAAGTAAAAGATGCTTAAATTCTTAGAAAGGAACAGATCTACTATGCTTGGATTTTTGTATACTTTCATTTAAAATCAGATTTTTATTTTATATCAAATTTTAAATACATTCTGTATGGTTTAATCTTCAAAAAGAAATGCCTTGGAGCACCAACTGTAACAGGACTTTTTTATGAATTGGCAACATTTACCTTCTTAAAATTTTAAACTTTTTTATTAGATAAAATATTAACATATGCAAAAGTAGGGAAAGAGTATAATAAACCCCTGTATTCCTTATTACTCAGCTTTCACACATATTAATTTATGGTAAAACGGATTTAATTTATTCTTTCTCACACCTCTTCCACTGTTATTTTGAAATGAATCACAAATATATCATTTTACTTGTAAATATCCCCCAAATAAGAGCTCTTTCAGAAAGCACAATCACAATATATCAGACCTAATTCAAATTAGTAATTTCTTAATAGGCAACTGTTTAAATTTCCCCCTCACTTTCTTTTTTTTTTTTTTTTTTTTAAAGATTTTTTATTGGGGAATTGGGGGGATGGGAACAGCGCTGGGGAATTGGGGGAAGGGGAACAGACAAGTTGCTGTCATTTTGTTCTTCAGTCTAGANTAGCCCATGGCAACCCACCTGCCGTCGCTGGCGACTCACGGCAGCCCAGCTCCAGGTTGAGCTGTTGTTCAGCATCTTAGCTATAGAGGGCAGTGTCACTGGCCCTCATATGTGGGATCCGAACTGGGGCCCTCTGGCGTCCCAAGCCAGTTCTTAACCATGGCGCCACTTGGCTGGCCCTCATTTACATTTTTTGCTTGGGTTCTGTGGACACTGCAGCTTTGAAACTGCAGCTCTTAGTTTAAAATATTAGACTAACGTGTCCATGTTCATCTTTTATGAAAATCAGAACATGTGTGTCTTACAGAATGCAGGCTGTTCATAGGTCTCTGGTGGCTCTGTGCTACCTGCTTCCTCTTCCTCTGCCCCAGCAGAGTGAGGGTGGCAAAGTGCTCGAGATATTGAATTTTGGTTGTGAAGCACTGATGTTTAAATATTTAAATTTTTATTATTGTACTTACGTATACTGAATTGAACTGTTCACACCTTACGTATACTGGTGAGTCTGCTGTGACTGTTTATATCAAGACGCAGACATTTCTGTCACCTCAGAAAGTTCCTTCCGTCCCTTCACAAGCAGTCCTCTCCCCCTGAAGCCACCAGTCATCCAATTTCTATCACCATCATTTAGTTCAACTCTGTTTCTAATGGTAACTCCAATTCTATGTATTTTTTTGATGTTTACCATGACTTACATTGTTATTGACTCTCTTAAGAGGAAGGAACGTTAATTTAATAGGATAGTTCATTTAATTTTTTAGCAAATACCCTTAGGTGAGATTTCATTATTTGTAGATGTCTCTTTGAAAACCTGTTATATTTGAAATATGTGTGTGTTTTTCTCTTCTTTATCAAGGTGCTACTATCTCCTGAGACATTTTTTTATTTCTTTTATTCACACGTGTCCATTTCTGTTTCACTCTGGGTCTTGCTGGCCCTGGTTTAACTTTGACACTGTTTGCTGCTCTTTAGTAGAGATTAAGCATTCCATTGTGAAATCCTCTGTGGTCAGATGATCCTGAAATGTGCTGCAGGCCAGCCTCAGTGACTCATGGTTTTCTTGTAATTTCCGTGCTGCCTGTTCCCAGGGCCCGCCTGAGGCAGCTCTTCAAACGGCCATGATTGTGACTTCTTCATCCCTGTTTTTCAGGCCAAACTTCCCGATTTGCAACCATTCCCTTCTCCAGACGGTGACACTGTGACCCAACATGAGGAACTGGTCTGGATGCCTGGAGTTAATGATTGTGACCTCCTTATGTACTTGAGGGCAGCAAGGTAATTCACCCCATCCTGCTTTCTGAATTAGGCCATCTAAATTCATTAGGAGGCAAGAAATTTTCTTGGTTCCCCTGAAATTTTATTCATATACGGGCGTTCTCTGACTTTAAGTTTGGTTGTACCCTCAATAATCAGATCTGTGACCCTTCTTACCAGAGAAAAGAGTTTTAACATGGTAGAGTCACCTTTTCCTTCTCGAGGTTTGTCCCACATCAGATTTTACAGCTCTCCAGAAGGAAAACATCTCAGCCATACGGCAGTTATCAACACTTCTCAGTACAGTTGAGGAAGTGGGTCATTCAGCCTGTCTTAAAATCCCATCGCAGATTTCTCTACTTCATCGGTGCCAGGCCTAAACGTGACATTTTTGTGGCTCACCTACATGAGAACTTGCTAACCTGCAAATGCCTGAACTACAAAACAGAAGTTTAAATCTGTCCCTAACACTCGTAGTGCAGGCAGGGGGCCTTCCTTTGTCTGGAGTGATTTCTGGAACCCACGGCAGCATCAACGATGTGCAAACCAAAAACTGAAACAGGCCTCTGACTGTCTTTCGCTCTGGCTGTTCTGCGGTCAGTGGTGCCGAGCGCGCAGACGTGCAGCAGAGATGAAAATGTTTGGGTGGCGTCAGTAACTACTAATACTAACACTTCTTTTTAGCCCTTTTGTACCTTAATCCTCCTAAAGGTAGTTGATGTATAGCATGAAAGGAATTAAGTCTCAGAGGATTACATTTTATTTCCTGGAGACTTTTTGTTGAAAAGATTGTAATGTAGCCAATTGTTGTGGGGAAATAGCTTTAAATTATTCATGCCCTCAAAACTAAAATCTGAATATGGATAAAGAATAGGAAGAAATAACACAAATGGACTTGAGTAAACGAGTGAGTGAAGGGTGATCTGTACAGAACTTCAAATTTTTTTCTTTTTAAAATGAGCAGAAGGAGGACCGAGGACTTTGGCTTATTATTCATGTAGTAGTGGACTTTGGACTGGGCTGAAAATGTTCTCTGAAAATTGAGGGTGAAAATTTCTGTACTGATGTTTTTTTCCTGTCCTCCAAGGAGCATGGCGGCATTTGCAGGCATGTGTGACGGAGGCTCCACAGAGGATGGCTGTGTTGCGGCGTCTCGGGATGACACGACGCTCAACGCTCTCAATACAGTGAGTCCCTCGAAGTCGCCCTGGGTGGGAAGAACTTTCTTTGGCCCTGTGCTGACTGTAGGGAATATCTGAGGAGCATGGAACATGGAGGGGCCTGGGATCTCAGGAGTGAGTGCTGTGGTGTGGTGCTGGGATTGGAAGACGAGCTGGGTGCTTGGCCATAGGCTCCATGACCTCGGGCCAGTGAGGCAGCACCTCCAGGTTCATTTCCCAGTCTGCGTCTGTGCTCCATGATTGTGGTGAGCCTCAACTGAGAGACTAAGGCTAGGGGTGGATCTTTACTGAGATCCCACAAAGAGGAATACTGTGCAAAGGTGATTCACTTAACCAGCGCAACGACCCTCTACACTGGTTCCATTATCACCTTTGTAGACATGAGGAAATAGTTTAGCACGATTAAGTCATGATCCAAGGCCATACACTTAAGATTTGAATCCACAGGCCGTGCTGCTTTATGGCCAGCGGTGCTGCCCCTTGTCTGAGACTTTGAAAACACAGCTCATGGAGGGACTAGACAAGAAGCTAGACTTCTTCCAACAAATTTGTTTCTTATAGATTTGACTTTGTAACCATGTGAATATTTCATATTTCATATGATTATAAAACAAAATTAAGTTTTAAAAATAGCAGTCCCTAAAAAAATCTAAAGTAAAAGGTAACAAGTGAACCTAAAGGCTCTGAGTTAGTTGCATGACATCCCACCATGATTCCTCATCTGCTTCAGTCTCATAACACACATAGCAGCTCAGAATAACAAAGCTCACACCCTCCAAACAGTGCGATTACTGAGACCCGCTTCCTTTTGTGGACACTCCTTTTTGACTTCCAAATATATCGTATGGTGCTGTTTAGGAAGTTTAATGTACTTTCAAGTTTCTTGACATAATTCTTCTCTATGTGGCTACTAATGTGAAATCATCAAATCTGAAGAAGTAGAAATGCATTTTATGGATCTTTGATATATTAATAAAGAGTCTAGGTGGTTATGTGTATATTTACATAGGATATTGAGCATGAGGCTGAGCAACTCTTCTGATAATTAACTAAATGTTAATTTAAGCACCCTTTTTGTGTTTCTTTTTCTTGAGAGGTCACTATAGTTGGAAAGGCCTTTCGAGATCATCTGTTCCAACCTCTAAATAGATAATAATCCAAGGCTCAGAACGGCCAGATGACTTTTTGAGTCCCAATCCAAAATGTTCATAAGGGAGGGTAGAAAATAACTCAGATTCCCAATTTAGGGATCTTTCTGCTCTACAGCTTGCTTTCCAGGAAGCATGTAGATATCTGAATATATGCTGTATGATATGGTTGATTTTTATTCCTGGTCTCACTGTGTTTCTTGGGAATTACATAAGATTACAACAGTTTCTTGTATGTTGGAGGTTGAATGACCTTGCTGGGGATGTGATGTTCTAAATAACTGAATGATTCTTTACATTCTCATATATATTTATGTACTTTCTCACCTATTTGATACTTAAGGGTTTTGTTTTTATAAGGACTTGTTATTCTGAACATGTAATGATACAGCCAGAGGGGCCTTCAAGATTATTTTACAAATGGGGAAACCGAGTCTCAGAGATTGGCGGCGGGGCAGCAGTAGCTATGGTGGATGCAGGTGTGGGTGTCTGTATTTAAAATGCCCTTACTAAGTCTATGTGTTTTCAAAGTAACTCTTGGATAGGAGCTTGTTATCTGTTGATTTTTGTATAAAAGCTTTATAAAAAAAGTCTCCTTTCATGATTGTGCTGATCAGTTGAATTCGGAATACTGAAGATGTTTCTATAGCTGATTAGATGTCTGTTTTGGGCACTTCCCTGAATTTATCTGATTTCTTCCCTTTCTATTCCAAACCCTCTGAGGATGCCGTAGAACATACTTCTCTACAGAAATAATTTGGGCTATTTTTGCCGCAGGTCCTTTGTAGCTAGTTCCTTCTGAAGTTTTCCTAAGCATTGCCAGAGGGTTTGGGTTTTATGAGTTCTTATTTCTGTGAAGCTGCCCGCCCGTCATTTGAAATTCTTCTTGTCCATGCAAGCCCAGGATGGCCCAGGTGTCGAGTTATGCAATACAAGTGCATGCAGCCACCAGAGGACTGGGTCGTGGGCTCGGTTTGTGACGAATGGAAAAGTTTAGTGGCTGCCTCAATGTTTGTACTTCATTGTTGTGCTGGCTCTCGGGGAGTTTTAGTTGTAGGCACTTTCTCTAATGAAAAGTGGAGTGGATGGAAACCTCTTGTGAGAAGTTAATGTTTACTTTGACCTCTTTGGAGTAACAAGTTTTGAACTATGTTAAGTTATAAATTAAAAAGATAAGTACATTGTCATGTAAAAAGTATTTATTGTTTTCTTAGAATATAGCAGAGTCAAAACAAGGTTAGGCATTTATCAATTTAGAATAAGCCTGTGTATTTCATATTTCCCAGTACAATGTAGAAATTTAAAATATATGAAATCTGCAGTATAGCCACATTAGTGTGTGTTTAACATCCAGCAGGACTATTTAAATATAAGTACATTTAAATAAATACAGTAGTTTAATTTTTTAAACTGTTATCACTAAATAGAACATTTTTGAACTGTTAGTTCTTTATGAATTACTTATTTTGACTCAGTTTTTTCTTATTCACAAATGAGATTTTTTAGTGTGTAATTTTTAAAACAACTTATTGGGGTATACTTTACATATAATAAACTGCTCTGATTTAAAATATACCATTTGATGGGCTTTTTCGTATGTATACATACCAATGAAGCGGTTACAGTGATCAAGACACAAAACATTTCCAACACCCCGAAAAGGTGCCTTGTGCCCTTTTATAAGCCTTTGCTCTTCTAGTATCAGATAACCACTGGTTCTCTTATTTGAGATTAGTTTGCATTTTGTAAAACATTGTATGAGTGAAATAATATTGTATGTAATCTTTTAGTTCTGGCTTCTTTCAGCCGAATAATTTTGAGATCATTCATGTTGTTGCAGCATCAGTAGTTCATTTTTATATTTGCTGAGTGCTGTGCCACTGTATTTTATCCCTTCACATTTGGGCTGTTCCCAAGCTTTGGGCCATTAGGAATGAAGGTGTTATGAACATTGTTAAATGAGTCTTTATGTAGTTTTCTATTTTCATTCCTCTTGAGTAAATACGTAGGAGTGAACTGGCGGGATTGTACGTGTGCAGGTAGCTTCTTAAGGGATGTCAAAGAGCTTTCTGAAGTGGCTGTACCCTCTTCCATTCCTACCAGGAGGTGTTAGGATTTCAGCCCTTCACCATCCTCAACTTGATGTTGTCACTTTTTTAATTTTAGCTATTCTGATGGGTGTGTAGTGATATCTCATTGAGGCTTTTCATTTGCCTTTCCTGACTGACTGATGCTGAGCGTCTTTTCATGTCTTTTTGCCCATTTGTATATCTTTTGTGAAGTATCTTTGTCCAATCAGATCTTTTGCTTGATTTTTAACATTGAGTTGTCTTTTGTATGATTTAGTTGTAAGAGTTCTTGCTACATTGATAACAAGTCCCTTGATGTATATGTATTGTGAAGATTTTCTCCCATCCGACGATTTTTTTTAATGGTGTCTTTCAAAGAGCAAAATATTTAATTTTGCTAATAAAGTCCAATATATCATTTTCCTTTATGAAAGTATCTTTGATCACCTCATGATTGCAAAGATTATATCTGTGCTTTCTTCTTGAAGTTTTAGTTCTTATATTTGTAAGACTTTCATTTCGAATTAATTTTGTATGTGATGTGAGGTAGGGGTGAAAGTTCATCCTTTTCCACACAGATGCCGGTTGTTGGAGCATCATTTGTTGAAAACAGACCTTGCTCATTGAACTGCCTTGATACCTTTACTGAACGTCAGTTGCTTGTTTGTGTGATCCTTCTCTGGATTCTGTTTTCTTTCTCTGATCTAATGCCTGTCTTGTTTTATCAGTACCTCAGTGTTTTGAATACTGTAGCTTTATAGGAATTCAGATAGTGTAAGTCCTATTTTTGTGCATGATTTTTAAGATTGCTTTGGCTATTTCAGATCATTTGTGTTTCCATTTAAATTTTAGAATCAGTTTGCCAGTTTCTATTTTTAAAAAGGCTTGGTGGAATTTTGAGTGGGGTTGCATTGAATCTGTGGCTCAGTCTAGGAAGAATTGACATTCTAACAATATTGAATCTTTCAGTTCATAATCATGATATATCTCTCCATTTTTTAAAAGGGTTTCTTTTTTGTGTGTGAGATTCTGTAGTTTTCAGGTCTTACACATATTTGAAGATGCTACTGTTAATGGAATGCATTTTTCAAATTTCCATTTCTAAGTGTTCATTGATAGAAATAGAAATACAATCAGTTTTTATGTGTTGGCCTTGTAGTCTTAGGTCCTGCTAAATTCTAGTAGCTTTCTAGTTGGTTCCTTCGGATTTTCTGTGTATATAATAAGCATGTCGTCTGCAAATAAAGACCTTTTTACCTCTTCCTTTCTGATTTGTGCATTTTCTTCCTTTTTTGTGCTTGATCACACTCACTTGGACCTGCAGCATGATACTGAATAGATATGATGAGAGTGGACGCCTTTGCCTCCTTTCTCATCTTAGGGAGAGAACGTTGTCATTCACTATCAGGTACAATGGACGGTTTTTTCTTTTCTTCCTTTTGTTCTTTGACAATGTTTCCTTTTATAGTTACGTTTGTTGAGGTTTTTTTTTGTTTTGTTTTTAATCATGAATGGGCATTGAATTTTGTCAGATGCTATTTTTTTCTTGTTATACTTTATTTTGTTAATATGATGAATTACATTGATTCATTCCAAATGTTAAACCAACTATGCATTCCTAGGATAAATCTTGCTTGGTCGTGTACTATTGGATTCAATTTGCTAATGTTTTGTTAAAAACTTACATCTGTGTGTTCATGAGGGATATTGAACCATAGAATTCTTTCTTCGTGATATCTTTGGTTTTGATATCAGAGTAATAACTAACTTCAAAAAATTAGTTGGGAAA